ATGAAAGAATGAGAAAAAGTGTTTGGTTAGGGTTACATGAATGCTATTTATACTAATGCTGAAGTAGAGAGTTGTTACTATACAAATGACAACTCTTCTTATTCTATAAGACTAAAACTAAAGTACAAATAATAATAAAGATAGTACAACTCCTAATACCCCCCCGCAAGAGGAGCATGAATATGGGTCATGTTCATCTTGGATAAGAGATAATGAAAAGCAGGCCCTGGCAATGCTTTGGTGAGGCAGTCTGCAGGCTGTTCTTTAGTATTGATGTGATGAAGTTGAATGAGACCTTTGCTTATCTTCTCTCGAATTAGATGACAGTCCAACTCAATATGTTTAGTCCTCTCATGGAAGACAGGATTGCAAGCCATGGCTAAAGCAGATTTACTATCTGTAAACAGAGAGGCAGGTAAAGTTAGTGAAATACCAAGTTCAGTGCTTAAATTGACAATCCATTGTATTTCACAAGAGGCTGTGGCCATTGCCCTATATTCTGCCTCAGCAGATGACCTACTAACTTCTTAGACTTCCATGAGATCAATGAGTTTCCAAGGAAAACAAGATAACCAGAAACACTTATTCTTGTATCAATACAAGAAGCCCAATCACTATCAGAATAAACATTTAAAGTAAGGGGGGAGTTTCTGAGAAAGATAATACCTTGTCCAATGGTCCCTTTTACATACCTGAGTATCCTTTGTGCTGCAGCCATGTGAACATCAGAAGGTGAAGACATAAATTGGCTAAGTGTTTGTACTGAGAAAGCTATATCAGGTCTACTTATGGTGAGATATAAGAGCCTGCCTATCAGCCTTCTGTATTCAGAGGGGTCAGAAAGAGGAGTGCATTTGGAATTTTCAGAAGTATTGGACAGTTTGATAGTAGAATCCATGGGTGTAGATGCAGGTTTACATGCCAACATGCCAGTGTCATTTAAAATGTCTAATGCATACTTTCTTTGGCACATATGAATCCCTTTTTCAGAATGAGCAAACTCTAACCCCAAAATATATTTTAACTGTCCCAAATCCTTAATGGTAAAACATGCATCAAGGTGAGATTTAACTGATTCTATGCAATGCAAATCATTACCTGTGAGGATTATATCATCCACATAGACCAATAATATAGTGAAAGAGCCATTGACAGGCATATAAAACATGGAGCAGTCAGCAATAGATTGAGAGAAACCATAAGTGATAAGACATGTAGTTAATTTGTGGAACCATTGTCTGGAAGCCTGTTTCAGACCATATAGACTTTTATTGAGTTTGCAGACTCTAGTATCATTAGGTTCACAACAGCCTGGTGGGGGAGTCATATAAACTTTTTCAAATAAATCACCATGTAAGAAAGCATTATTAACATCCAATTGATGAATGAACCAGTGTTTAATGGATGCTAAAGCAAGAATGAATCTGACTGTGCTAATTTTAGCTACAGGAGAAAATGTGTCAAAGTAGTCTATACCCTCTTCTTGGGTATAGACTTTTGCAACTAACCTAGCTTTGTACCTCTCAACAGAACCATCAGACTTGTATTTGATTTTGTAAACCCATTTGCAACCAATGCAATTTTTATTTTTAGGAAGATCAGTTAAGGTCCAAGTGTTGGTCTGTTGAAGGGCACTAAGCTCTTTTTGCATTGCCTCCTGCCAAGAAGGATCCTTGGCAGCTTGTTTATAAGTTTTAGGTTCAGAGGCAAGTGAAATAGAAGCAGTAAAACATGTATGAGAGAATGACAAATTTGCAACTGAAAGATAGTTTGATATAGGAAAATTAGATGTACCAGGGATATTTGAAAGTGTAGAAGTAGTAGCATTGGAAGAATGTGTAGTAGGCAGAGAGTGTTGGTAAATATCTAGGTAAGCTGGAGGTTTTGAGATTCTAGTGGATCTTCTTGGCTGAGGGGATGGATGTAGGCCAGCTGTATGAGACTGTGATATTTGAGATGGAGGAGATGTTGTAGTAGTAGTCATAGAAGGTTGAGGAGATGTTGTAGTAGTAGTCATAGAAGGTTGAGGAGATGTAGAGATATGAGTTGTAGTAGTGGTAGGGATATTGTATAAAAAATTCTCATGATCAGGTTCAGGAAACAGAGGCAAGTCTGAGATGATTGATGGATCAAGGGTATCAGAAGAAATAGATTGATTTTTGAAAGGTAAGACACTTTCATAAAAAATAACATCCCTGGATATGAATGTTTTCTTGGTATCTAGGTTGTAAAGCTTGTATCCTTTACAACCCAATGGATACCCAAGAAGTATGCACTTTGATGCTCTATGATCAAATTTTGTTCTATGAGCAGATAAAGTAGATGCATAACACAGACAACCCATGACCCTTAAATGATCATATGTAGGCAGTTTATTATAAAGCATTTCAAAAGGAGACTTGTTATGTAGAACTTTAGATGGAACTCTGTTTATTAGATGCACAGCAGTAAGGACACAGTCAACCCAAAAAATCAGAGGCAAATGAGCATGGAACATAAGTGCTCTAGCTACTTGCAATATATGTTGATGCTTTCTTTCAACTCTAGCATTCTGCTGTGGTGTTTCCACACAAGACTTTTGATGAACAATACCATAATCAGAGTAAAATTGATTGAGAATGAATTCAGAGCCATTATCAGTTCTAATGGATTTGATTTTCTTATCAAACTGTGTAAGAATCATATTATAGAAATGTAATAAACTTGCCTTGGTTTCTGATTTTTGAACTAAAGGATAAACCCATGTAACTCTGGTAAAATCATCAACAATAGTTAGGAAGTATTTCTGAGATGCATATGAAGGTACAGAAAAGGGGCCCCAAATATCACAATGAATAAGATCAAAAGCATTATCAGATTGGGACTCACTGATGGGAAAAGGCAACCTTTTCTGTCTAGAGAAGTGACAAACATCACAAGGAAACACAGAAACTTTATTATTGTCATTAGTAAAGGGTAAAGAGTTCATTTTAGAAAAGGACAAATGTCCTAATTTATTGTGCCATATACTTGTATCAGTTGTTGTGGCATTTACATGTAAGGGAAAATTGACAGCATTAGAAACAGTATCACAGGGATAAGTGGTAAGTGAATCAGAGACAGGTGATGGACAAGTAGACAACTCAGGGGATATATGATTATTAGCAGATGTAGGAATTTTCAGGAGATACAAGCCATCAATCAAGTCAGCAAAACCAATCATTTTGTGGTTGGTGAGATCCTGTAAAATGCAAGATGATGCTAGAAACTTTATTATGCAGTTATTGGTTGCAGCAAGTTTAGACACTGAGATCAAGTTAAACTGAAATGAAGGCACATAAAGAGCATCATGTAATGTCAAAGTATCAGATAAGTGAACTTGGCCTATTTGTAAAGCAGTAGCATAGTGACCATTAGGCAAGTTAATCTGAACAGAGAGAGATCTAGCAGGTGTAGAGTAAAATTCAGAAGAACATAACATGTGATCTGTGGCACCAGTGTCAAGTATCCATGCAGTTTTGTTCAGTTTTATAGAAGCTATACATGCCAAAGGAGTAGAGATACCTGTAGTGTTAGCCAGAGCAGTAGCAACCACAGGTTTGGATGAAGAAACTTGCTTCATCTCCTGTGATTTCTTAAAGGCTAAAAATTCACTAAACAAACTGTCAGTCATGGAAGGTGCATTCACATTAACATCAGAATCAGTTTGAGTAATATTCTCAGAAATTGCAGCATGAGCAGAGTGAGAGACATTGTTTCTAGGGCCCTTGGGGCCAATCCAGTTATCAGGATATCCAATCAATTGATAACATCTATCAGCAGAATGACCATTATACCCACAATGAGAACATTTGAGCTTTTTCTTATCCTTAGAGAAATTATTGAAGTTCTGTTTAAAACTCTTTTGTGGCTGGGATGAATGAAAGTTGGATTTAGCAGCCATTGCAAGGGAATCAATGTTTTTGGAATTGTTAGATAAAGCTCTTTGACTCTCTTCTTGGAGAAGTAAAGAATAGACAGTTGAAAGAGATGACAAGGGAGTAGAAAGAAGAAAATGACTCCTGAGGGAAGAATAAGAATCATTTAATCCAATCAAAAACTTCATCACTGAATCATTCTGTTGTGTTGTGGTCATGGATTCAAATATATGACAAGAACAGTTATTATAGGCACCACAGACACAATTGAAGATAGGGCGATATGTGAGATATTCATCCCAGAGAGATTTGAATGAGTTATAATATTGAGTAACAGTTAAGTGGCCCTGATCAATAGTATTTAGAGATTTTTCAAGCTGAAACACACGAGGACCACTTGAAAGAGCATATCTAGATTTCAGTTCATCCCACACATCTTGAGCAACAAAAAAGAAAAGCAGAGACTGACGTATATCTTTGTGAACCGAATTCAGAATCCAAGAAAGAACCAGATTATTCGCCCTAACCCAAGCAAGAGAAAGAGAGGGATTCTGATTAGGGTTAGGAACAGAGACCGTACCATCAACAAACCCTAGTTTGTTTTTGACGCTCAACGCCATCTTAATCGCGCGCGACCACGACACATAGTTGTCGCCGTTGAAAATCTCGGCGACGATGAGTGCTCCAGGGTTGTCGCCGGCGTGGAGATAGAACGGTGATGTCGGATCGTCGGTAGGGTTTCCAGTAGCAGCCATAACAATCGATCAGATAATCAGTAGTGGAATCACAAGATCTATACAGAAGAACAAGAATTTGCAGCGGAAAACGATAGATTTCAGGATCAATTTCTCGCGAATGATACCATGACAGAATATAGAATGAACAAGAAAAGAGGAAAGATTGTATTCAACACGGCGAGAATGAAAGAATGAGAAAAAGTGTTTGGTTAGGGTTACATGAATGCTATTTATACTAATGCTGAAGTAGAGAGTTGTTACTATACAAATGACAACTCTTCTTATTCTATAAGACTAAAACTAAAGTACAAATAATAATAAAGATAGTACAACTCCTAATACAACTTCCATCTATCTAAGGGATTCTTTACCGGGCCTTGTATAATCAACTGGTTCATTTCAAAAATTTCGAACATAGTAATTAGTAGTAGGTTTTACTTTCCTTTTCCACTAGTCCCATCATTTCCATCTTCCCAAATGTGCCCTTTATGTTAAAAGAGGACTGATTTATGTTGGAATCAATCCGACATAACCCGGGTTTTCTTCCCAGTTTTCCAACTTATATGGCTGCCTTCATGTGAACCAAGGCATTAACAAATAAGAAGGCCAACAGAGAGAGCAAATGCTGGTTCACAGTCTCATAAATTCATAATAAGTCCAAGAGATTATTACTAGTTATTAATAATAATTTAAAAAGTGCCACTTCAAAAAAAGTATGCTTTGGGGACTGTAAAAGACTAAAAAAGCTGATTGATATGTGCCATTAAATTTTCAAAGCTCTTCTCACTACTGCATAAAAAACCCATTTAGCTTCTGAACACCAAATACAGATACAAACAAAATTAAATCTTCTCAAAAAGGATGCAAATACAATGGGAACTGATAGAAAGAGCAAAAGAAGAACTGGAAATAATAGAAACAGAGCATCCCAACAGGTTTGAACTTCTCAAAACAGAGCTCAAAGATTTCATTTCAGATTTGGAGCTGCAGATTAATAGCAACATCACCACACACTATGCTGACACTCAAGGTGTGCTTTAAATCTTGTTATTTATTTCATTATTTGCATAATCAACTAACGGTTACATGATCATCTAACGGTTACAAACCCCAACGAAATGGTTCCGTAATGGGACTGTAGCATTTCCCCTATAAACTGCATAATACAAGAAACCAGAATCTTAAATAATATTTTGTTTATTTATTGATTTATTTATTTATATATATGTTTATTTTTTTCATTTAAATTGTGATAATCAGAGTCATCAAGCATGGAGAAGAGGAAGAAAGTAGGGTCATGTCTGAACAAGATGAGCAAGACTGAGGTTGTCCTGGAGAAAGCTCTTCATTGTCTCTGCAAAATTCAACACTTCAAAGCTAGCTTATGTTCTTCTAATTTATATTGCTAAAATCTAGCTAGAGAAACAAATGAAGGCCTGATAATATTTTGATTAATTCTCATGTGTGCTGCTTACTTAAAAATATTGCAGAGAAGTTGTGTTTTAAAAGGAGGCTTTTTGGGATTCATATTAGTTCACCACCTGTGTGTGTTAGATATGACATGGATTAAACATTTATTTATTATATTTTAAAATATTTTGTTAAATATAATATTGGTATTAATGAATTGTATTAACTATTGTTATTATCATCATAAATAATAATAACAATCTCAGAATATGGATTCGTCGCTCTATAAACAAAACACGGTTTTGCTATGAAGCCAACAGTTGGCTCTATAGTTGAGTCAACCTTCTATGTATAATAAATATACAATATGTTTTTTATTTTCTTCATAAATTCAAAATAAATAAATGTAACTTAAAAAATATTAGTGATATTTAACGAAAAAAATATATTTGTCACGTTAATCACACTTCTTGATTTTTTTTTTATTTTTTTTCACAAATGACTCAATAGTAACATTATTTTCATCACTTTTGATAAATAAAGACATTATTATTATTGTATAAATGAATTGATATAGAATTATTCAAAAAACATGTATAAATGTGAACCAGTTAAAAAATAAGAAATATAAATTGAATACATAACAAACATAAATTTGCTCAATTTTGAGTAGCATGCATTTAGTTTTAAATTAGGGCCATGTATTTTTTTAATTTTTTAAAAAATAATTGAAAAAATAAATTCGATAATTAATTTCTTTTCAAAATAATTTCGATGGTGATCAATATGACAATCATCATTATTTGTGAAGTTACAAATAGGCATGATAATCGTTAATATTCATGTCAAAGATAAATTACTTATTTCTCGTACGCAATTTATGTGAAACGTAATTAATCTAACTTAAAAAATGTACATTGATAGAATTTTCGTAAAATAATAATAAAAAGACATTTAATTTAGATTATATAAATTAAAATTTATTTTGATAAAACAACATATATGATATATAATGAAAAAAGTAGTTGATGCATTGAACTTTATATATGCATCAATTTAGTTGCAATAATATTTGCTCGTCGTTTTCTTGACAAAAACAAAAAATACATTTTTCAGTAAAAAAATAATATAATTAACATATTGTGCTATTTTTATTGTAGTTGCATAATTGTGGATTAATAATAGGGTGTTTTTTTCCCTTGATAAGAGGGTGCTTGGATACAACTTTGTTTTGAGTTTTGATTGGATTAGTAGGTTAATTAGAGTTAATTTTGAAAAAGTTGGTTAAAACATGTTTGAGTGAGATTTTGAGTTGTATAAAAATAATATTTAAAATAAAATGATTAGAGTTCATTTAATGTAAAAGTATAAGATATGTCATCTATTACTATAAAATAGAGTTAAGAAAAAATACAATTTTGGTAAGTTTTTTCCCGCTTTATTATTTCAAAAATTACCTTTGTTGGAAACTTTTTTTTGAATTTATTTCACAAATTCCGCCTAAAGTTTTTGATTTGATTTTGAATAGAAAAAATGATATTCAGATTATTATTACACGCCTTTTCTATCACCTTTTTTTAGGAATAGATTTTGTTAATTTCCCACTATTTTAACTCCTTTTTTTTATAAAGAGATTTGGTTATTTTTTTTTTTGTGAAATCCGTTTTTTACTATTAAACAAATTAATATTGGATATGTTTTGAAAAGATTCCTTTATTAAAGAAACAATTTTATATGTTTTAACTTCCTATTTTTTAGGATATGATTTGGTAAATATTTATTGGTTAAATCTGATTTTTAGAATAAGCCTAACTAAATATATTTCCTTTTTTTAGGATGTGATTAAAGAAACAATTCCATAAAAATATTGGATTCTTTAAAATATGATATATTATCTTCTACATAACCGATTTCTTTTGGATACGTTTGAAAATAATTTTCATTGTTTTGAAAAGATAATGTAGGATATGTTTTGAAAAAAATTCATTTATTAAAGAAACAATTCCATAACATATTCGATTTTAATATTTTGTATGCAAATAATTATTTCGAAATATTGCTTATTTAAAACAATGCAAATTAATATTGGATATGTTTTGAAAAAATTCTTTTATTAAAGAAACAGCTCCATAACATATTCGATTTTAATATTTTGTATGCAAATAATTATTTCAAAAATTTTCTTATTTAAAACAATTCAAATTAATATTGGATATTTTAGATCACATCTATTACTTGCTTACTATATATTTAAAATCTAAAATAGGTTGGATTGGGTTTAAGGTGATAAGCACAACCTTTTTTGTTGTGGGAAATCAAACAAAAGGTATACTATTTTAGGTATAAAATCTGATTTCATTTGATAAACTCAATCAAATTTGGTTATGACCGAATCAAACAATTTTGAACAATATTAAATTAATCGACTACTATTGAATTAATTTCTTTTGATTTTCACGTCTAAAATTTTTCAAAATACTATGTTTTATTTTTTTTGTGGAAAATAGCGGCTGGATGAAAAAGTTAAATTCAAATTTAAAAAAAATGTTATTTTGAAAAAGATATTTTGTAAACCTTAAGTCATAAAAATATGGTCAATGATATCTTTAAATACAACGGGTAAATATGATCAATGATATCATAAATTATTTTTTATATTTGAGTAGTTCAACTTAATTGATGTTTTTTTTTTTCCAAAAAGTTTGATAATCATATATTTAATTTATCATATATCTAATGTTTGATTTATTAGTTTAGTTGGGGATACCCATTATATTCAAATAAATAATATACAATATTTTATATTTGGTATTTCTTTTCTTACAATAATGAGATGTTAAACATAAATAATTATGTTTAATATAAAGTCTTAAAAAAAGTTTTAAGTAAAAAGTCCGTCCGTGTATTGCACGAGATACACACTAGTTGTAAGTTATAGATATTTAAAATTATGTGAGTAGATGAATAGTGACTTAAAGTTGATGTGATGTGTGAGTATGATTGATTATATTTATTTATATTGATAATATTGATGATCGTTGAGTTGAACTAACCTCGAGTTAAATTTTGAGTTACAAAAAAAAAAGTAATTGATCAGAAGTGATTAGATACACACCTTAAGGAAATTAAAACGAGCGGTACTCTAGTCATAAACCTTCATACGACCTCTAGGCTTAAATGAAACAAATAGTACCAACTCAAATGATTCTCTCTATACCATCACCTATTATCATGTGGAGTGACAATCGAGCAACTATGCACATCACAGCTAATCCAGTGTTTCACCAGCACACAAAACATTTGGATATTGACTACCACATTGTGTGCAATAAGTTCAAAGAAGGTTTTGTACGACCATCTTTTGTTCCCTATACAGTCCACCACTCGGATGTCCGATCCTCACCAAGATCTTACGCGTTGGCCATTTTTTTCAACTTATTTCCAAGTTGGGCACACACGTAACATGTTCAAAGTCATGCACATGCAAGGTCGATGAGCTTAAGAACCCAAAGTCGTGTTTTTGTTTTTTACGTTTCTCTTCTTTTTATACGTTTCATTAATCAAAATAATGTCATACCATTGTTAGCAAAACGATGTTTTTTCTTTGTAATTAAAATTAACCTTGCGCGAGTCTTAGGGAACGTTTGTTTATAAACAAACTTAATCCATACTTCATCTATATTCAAAATATAACTCAATTTTAATTTAACTTTAGCATCCTTAATATTATCAATATAATTAAACAATATCATTACACACCACATCAAATATAATCACTATGCATCAACTCATATATTTTTCACTCGTTATCACTCCCCACAATTTATCTTCAATTTTTATATCAAATCAACTTCAATAATTTTATTTTAAATAATATTTAATATATTCACTAATAACTAGTCATGTCACATTTATTTTAAATTTAATCTTAATTAAAAAACCTCAATGGAAGATTTATATATAAGCATGTCCCCAAAATACCATACCAAAGTAGAGATTTTTATCAAAAAAAATTGTGGTTATGTAAAACCCCCAGTCTTGGGAGGTAGCCAATTTCCTCCACCTCCGCCGTCAACGCCCCGTCCGCCACCACCATCATACTACTTTCCTCCTCCACTGCCGCCGCCGCACCTCCATCTCACTTCATAATAATTGCCATCAATTCCCCGCCCCTCCCTTCAATTTCCCCCAATATTTCAGCACTGCAAACACACTGCAACCGGCCCGAACCCTCCGAAACCCAAAATCATGGCGCTACCGCCATTAAACCTCCACACCCACCATCAGTTTTCCTTCTCTTCTTCTTCTACCCCTGCTTCTTGTCCATTTTCTTCGCTGAACACACTCACGTTTCAGACCATTCACCTCTTCAAAATTGTAAAACTGCCCCGAAAATGCAGAAGAACTTTTCCCATATCGTCCTCAACTTCCCCTCCTCAATCCTCCCCAATTTTCCTCCCTTACCTCCAAACCCCAGAAAGGAAACAGAGCCCGGAACCCGTGCTCGAAAGTGATTCGGAAATTACCGACGACCCTATCGTCAATTTCTTCAAGGCCCGAAGTTCGGGCCCGGAACCAGACCCTGGCCGACAAGGTCGCATCTCCCTCAAAAAAAACCGAAGAACTTCGTGGCAGTTAGCGCCCGGCTTCCATAACATGGATTCCGATTCAGAACCTGAGAATTACCAAGTGCCCATTTCCCAGAATGCTGAAGAAAAGTCGCCGTCGGGGGTTGTGGAAGAAATTATGGGAATTGCAAGGGCGTTACCGGAAAATGTCACATTAGGGGAGGCGCTGGGGAGCTGTGATTTTGGGGGGAGATTAGGGAAGAAGGAGTGTATGGAGGTGTTGAGGGTTTTGGGTGAGGAGGGTGATGTGATGAGCTGTTTGTATTTCTTTGAGTGGATGGGGTTGAGAGAGCCTAGTTTGGTTTCCTCACAAGCTTGCTCGGTTTTGTTTGTGATTTTGGGCAACGCTGGTAAAGGAGACAGCTTGTTGGTGATATTGAATAATTTGCCTTTCCAGCAGGATAGAGAGTTTAGAGATGTTCGGGTTTTCAATGCTGCAATTTCTGGCCTTATGTGTTGTGGGAGGTATTATATTTTCTTTCTTTCTCGTTTTCCATGTTCTTCTTCGGTGAGTTGCTCAGTGGTTTAGTTATGTTATCGATTTGAATATCGCGTTTTTTATTTCAGTCATGATATTCCATGTAAAGATGTGTATGTTTTAAGCCAAATTGCATTCCGGTTAGACACTTTGCATACAAGGTTGCCTTTTTATCGATGTTGAACAAATATAATCATTTGTGGGTTATTTCTAAAATTTGTTAATTGTCTTGTTATTATCCGTTCACGTTACTTTTGCAGTAACGCAACTTGCTAATGCATTCTTCGTTTTGTTCCATTTGAAGGTATGGTGATGCTTGGAAAGTCTTTGAGATGATGGAAACGAGTAATATCCAACCCAACCATTTGACGTGTTGCTTAATGATCACAATCATGAGGAAGAGTGGCAATAGTGCAAAAGATTCGTGGGAATTTTTCCAAAAAATGACCAAAAAGGGCGCGGATTGGAGTGTAGAAGCCGTGGGTGCTCTTATCAAATCGTTCTGTGACGAGGGTCTGAAAAGAGAAGCCCTCATTATCCAATCAGAACTCGAGAAGAGAGGTACACAATCTAACGCCATTATTTACAACACAATCATGGATGCCTATAATAAATCGGACCAAATCGACGAGGCCGAGGGCCTTTTTGCCGAGATGAAGACCAAAGGCATATCTCCAACGGCCGCCACATATAACATCTTAATGGACGCGTATAGCAAAAGAATGCAACCCAAAATCGTCGAGAAATTACTCCAAGAAATGGAAGATAATGGCCTCGAGCCGAACGTGAGATCCTACACGTGCCTAATTAGCGCGTACGGGAGGCAAAAAACAATGAGTGACATGGCGGCAGACGCTTTCTTGAGAATGAAAAAAGTCGGCATAAAACCCTCGACCCTTTCGTACACGTGTCTAATCCACGCGTACTCGGTTGACGAGTGGCACGAGAAAGCTTACACGGCTTTCGAGAATATGTTGAGAGAAGGTGTAAAGCCCTCGATTCAAACGTACACAGCTCTATTAGACGCGGCGAGACGCGCGGGAGACACTAAAACCCTTATGACGATTTGGAAGATGATGATGAGGGAGAAAATCGGAGGGACGCGCGTGACTTTTAACACGCTTCTCGATGGGTTTGCGAAGCACGGGCATTACGTGGAGGCGCGAGATGTGATATTCGAGTTTGGGAAAATCGGGCTTCACCCGAACGTGATGACGTATAATATGTTGATGAATGCTTACGCGAGAGGCGGGCAAGAGTCGAAGTTGCCGCAACTTTTAAAAGAAATGGCTGCGCTTAACTTGAAGCCCGATTCGATTACCTACTCGACGATGATATACGCGTACCTTCGCGTGCGTGATTTCAAGAGGGCCTTTTTTTACCACAAGCAGATGGTGAAAAGCGGGCAGGTGCCGGATGCCCGGGCGTACAGGAAGCTGAGGGCTATTTTGGAGGTGAAGGCGAAGATAAAGAACAGGAAAGATAAGAGTGCTTTAATGGGGATTATAAGAAGCAGCATGGGTGTTATGAAGCAGAAGAGGGCAGGGAAAAAGGACGAGTTTTGGAAAAATAAGAAAAAGCGGCCACGGATTCATCACAACTCCGCTCGGTAAATTCTATTATGATTGTAGACTTGTAGTAGCATTGGTCGTTTTGTGATGGTTTGTGTTCTTGGATCTTGACAGATGTTTTTCGTTCTTTCAGTTTTTTCTTATGATTTTCTCAAATAATGACGTTGTTTTGTTGTGACCGATATACACATGACTGTAACATGTAATTATTTTCGTGTAAGGAGTGAGTTTATGAGGATCTTGTAATGCAGTTTTGTGATCGATCAATCTTTTATCCAAGGGTATTTTCTGTATAGGAAAATGTTCTTGAGTTTGTGTAAAATATTTTGTTGTGGCCAACCTTCCAATACATTCTCAACTGTTGTTATGTTAATGGTGGAACTTAGAAAATTTTTCATTTGCCCATTACCGCAGTTGAGGAGTTGCACTGTTGATTTCTTTTCCGCTAGATCAGTGTATAATTTTCTTTTACCCAAAACCATTATCCAAGGAATTGTTGTGATGGATGGAACGGTACATGATGATCTAACGATTACATACTCAACGAAATAGTTTCATAACATGATGATCTAACGATTACATACTCAACGAAATAGCATTTCCCATAATTTTTAAAATATTGTCTTGGTTTTAAAATTTTATTTTTTGGCACAAATGATCTCATTCGAACATATTTTTCTTTGAGTTCAACCAAGCAAAATAATTTTGTGATATTAATATCAAATAAAGTGATATTAAACTTATCAACTCCATACAACCTATATATAATATCAGTCAATCATTTATTATATACTTTTTTTAATATAATTTACTATTCATTACTTACATTACAATTATTACTTTACTACTTGATCATTTATTATATACTTCTTTTTTAATATCATTTACTATTCATTACTTACATTACAATTATTACTTTACTAAGGTATTACATCGATTTAATCATTGTATTTTATCTCATATCAAAACACAAACACAAACTCAAAATCAAATTCAAGTTAACCACTTTATTCAATAAATTAAAACTCATTTTTAATTGTCACAAATGATCTAATTAAATTATCAAATGTCATAATTATTTTTATATCATTATTTAAACTACTTTAGGTTTTAATGAAAGTATCATCATATTTATAGGAGAAACTACGGTCCCGTTACGGAATCATTCCGTCGAGATTTGTAACTGTTAAATCGTCATGTAACTGTCGGGTTAATTGATCTAACGGTCACAAATCCCGAAATGCTAGCCTAAGCCTAACAAAATAACTTTAGTAAACATTGCTCAAATTTTATACTTTTACTAGTATTCGACCCTGTGCATTTGCACACATGTAAATAAAATATTGTGAGTTATTTCTATGCATATAATGATTAATTATTTTTCTTTCACCTTTTTGCTGGCAAATTTACAATTAAAAGAGTTGGAATATATTTTTTTTTTAAATTGCGTTTATCTAATTGGATGTAATGTATATTTTGGTATGTTTTTTTTTTGTGGATTATTTATTATTTATTTAGGAATTTCAAATACGTTTTTTATTTAAAAAAAAATTAATTTGAATGTAACCACAATAATAACATCTAATCACATTATACGGTCAACACATTATATAGTCGACTGTCAGTAATCAAATGTTTAAAATGAATTTTGTAATTTTGAAGTGATTAGTGTGTTGATTATTTAATAATTAAATAAAAGATTAAATACATCAAAAGTAACGATTTTTAGAGGGAAAATGATTAAATTGCCACATAAGTAAAATTAAATATGTTTTATTAAATGCTATTAGCTAGTAATTATATATATATAGATTTGTACAAGCGCTGGTCAAAAAAATCAATCAGTTAGCCTGGCTCAGCCTCAATTGCTCAAAAATCTCAGTCAAAAAACCTCGAACAGTTATTTTAGCCGGTGCAGGGTCTCTCGCTCCTCGCCTCCGATGGTTTGGGGCCTCTTTCCCGTCGACCCACTTCCAGGTACTCATAGAATCACTGCACATTTTCATTCGAGTAAAACTTCATTGTTATTTCATTGGGGCAATCGAACGAACACGTTGTATGCACTCTGTAAACGAGCTCACGCTCTTGAATTCTGGCTATGAACGTTCACAAACACGGAAGGGGAAACTCAATCAACAGTGTGCTACAAGTTCTGTATCTATCTATATCGTCGTTTATACAACTTGATCAACAAAAGTAGAAGTTTTTTGCTTTGAGGAAAACAGTTAACAGTGCATGAGTTGACAATGTACAGCAGTAAACCGAAGGAGATAATTATCCTATGTAATTTATAATATTGTTGTTGCTCGTAATAGTTCAAACTTGCTGATGTGACCTTCATCTTGTAAGTTGTACCTGTGAAAGAAGATCTTTAATTTAAAATTGGAGATGGTGGCAGGGTAGAAGACCGTTAGGCCGTTACCTAATGCATCTGTAAACCCGTTCTGAAGTCATCATTGTTTACGTGAATTCCAGCACATGGCCTTATTTTGTTTTTTGTATTAGCTCATATCTTGCTTGAGAACCCATGTGTAAGAATCTTGAAATTCCTGCAATCTGAACATGAAGACATGAATGTACATTTCATCATTTGGAAGAGCTTAACTCATTTTCCCGACAAAAGCTTGAGTTTTGTTTATGTCGTTCATCTATTTCCTTCAAGCATACCAGTCTCAATGGTAATGATTCATCCTCAAAATCAGCCTTTGAACTCTTCTTAGAATTTGCAGCAGAAACTTTTTCACTATCACTAACTTTCTGGATTCATATTTTAATTTCTGTCTTTTAAATTCTCCAAACATGACTTGGATTCTACAATGGGGACTCTACAAATTCAGCTAGGGGTGGTCAGGTTATACTCATTATTGTTCAACCTGAAATCATAACTTTCATAATTTGTATGTAGTAAAGGATAGAGAAGGTTTTAGAGAGGGGAGGAAAAGAATTACAAAAAGAACTATTTCCTCTCACATCTCAGAACTGCTTCATTTTCCTTTCATTACAATTCTTAATTCCTTGTTAAATGGCCATTTCATCTGACAGCAACCCTAACACTAAAACATATCTTAGTTCTTACAAACGTGAATTGGCCAAATTCGTTATAATTAGTTTCCTGCTTGGTTTCATAGACAAATGGGATATGAATGGGGCTGAAATTCATCAGTTAGCCCGAACTTTTTATTTTATTTTAATTTATATTTTTTTGTTGCATATTACATGAAATTGCTCCTACTGTAGCTTCTATCATTTTCCTTTGTTCACCTGTTTTTACCCTTTCCTTCTCCCTTCTGGTTCCTGGGTGTGGGTGATGGATCGTCTTTATGTGCTTTATTTTAGACAATTTAATCTATAATATGTTAATTCTATTTTGAGGAATGAAAAGCATTAACGTTACGTATATTTCAACACATTTTTGTTTTGTAAGGCCAGTTTACAGGGTTTTTTTTTTTTTTTTTTCCTCTCAAAACGATACATTTATCTTCTTCAATACTGTGTAGAGGGATCTCGTTTTGGATTATTTTTTTGGGTAGACATCTACTTTCAGATTGAAATTTTTCCTGAATGACGTGAAACCACTTCTGTGGCAAAATTAAGAGACAGCATCAGTTATCTTAAAAGTTCTTGTTATGATGCCATTTATCATATGATTGCATTGAAATAATTTGATAGACTGACGCAATACTAATTCGTGAATACCAGATTTGAAATATATTTGATGCTTGTGGTACTTCTTCCGTTTCTGAGATATAATCTATTCTGAAAACATCACGATCTAAATTCCTGTTTCTTAGCTGTTACTTATTAGAGATTGATTTCACTCAGAGTGCATCTTATCAATTATAGTTCAAAGATCAGTTATCTTTAACTGTTATGTTTTAGTCTGTTGTACCTTTGAGTTATGGCTGAGTCGCATTGATTTTCCTGGTATTTGTATTTGGCAGGTGAAAATGAATATTATATTTTCAGAAAAGGAACATACAAAGTGGGCAGAAAAGGTACCGCCAAATATTGTTCATTTGTTATCTACCATAAAATGCTTTGCCAAAGCAATTAGGATGTTCCATCAGAAACACTTTTTTTTAGGTGTAACATATTTCTTTATTTGATTTATTGTTACTGATTGCAAGGTCATATGCATAGGTCAGTGGTGATGGATTCGTCAAGTGGGATATAAGTTTCTATGTTTTTTTGTTTTTTGTTTTTTGGTTTAAAAATGAGATTTAACAGTTATTACATATTCACATTAAAAAGATTATTCAAGAGCACAAAATCAACCTGTTCTCCAACTACTAAAGGTGAAAATTGTCGCTTTCTGTAGTTTCAATTTAATCTGCCAAGCTGGTCTTTACTTGATCACTTAAATTTGTCCCTGACATTTATATTGTAGTCATTATTATTCAGGTGATGGTTGGAGTGATACGCTTGATGCAATATCAACCTTTTTTTATTCAAGTATAATCAATATACATGTCAATGTTTTTGTAGGATGTGATATCATCATTAACAAAGACAAAGGTGTCTCAAGGGTCCATGCGGAAATCATTGTAGATGAAATGGTTTGCATGGATAATTCAGAAAAGAAACACTCAACCAAAGTTCGGATAAGAGACTGCTCGAAATATGGAACCTTCATAAACAAAACTCTGGCTTCTGTGGAAAAAGTTCACGCACTTCCAAATAAAGAAACAACGCTGAAGGAAGGGGACCTGCTTGCATTTGGAACTGGAAATGCGAAATATAGGTAATGGTTAATGATCACATTTTCCTTTTATTACCAGATGTTAGGATTCCTGATTGTTTTCTGCAGTTGTCTTTTCCTTTTGTTGACTTGATCCATGATCTTTTAAGTAATTTAAAAGATATAATAACAAAAAGTATACGTGAGATTTCACCTAATCAGAAACAACCTAACTGATTTCAAAATTACAAAAATTCCACTGAGGGATAAGATTTGTTGTCTCACGTTTTAGCCCTTCGTAGACAGATTACAGTTAAAAAATTCTCCTTCACATTCATAAAAAATACTATATCTATCCCATTAGCTTTAACACTGAAACTTCATCTTGCCAAAGCTGTTTTTTTCTTTAATTAGGTTAAACCTTAAAGGATATTCTTGAAATCATCTCTAATTTTAACTTTAAGACAAAGTTCTTTTACATACATTTTCCTATGACAGGTTTTCTTTTGTTTCTCTTGTACTTTTTACGGGCTCATCCAAACCTTCAGATATCAATGAACTACATGGCAAGATGTCAGCGACTGGTGAGAAGTGTTTTTTTGTCCATTTTCTTACTTCATGATAATGTTACTATGCTGATGCATTGTATATGATATAAGTATCTTTATACATGATTCGTTATCATTTTTCTTATTAGAGGACCTCAAAGCCAAAGACAAATATGTCACCTTTTATGTATTTTTACTTGCATGGTACTCAGATTCTTTTTTTTTTGTTTTCTTTTCCTTCTTTTGTCGGTTTATTTCGTTTGACTGTGTATGTGTATGTACATGCATTTGTTTTATTAGGTAGCTTGCCGCATATTATATCA